ATAAACCAATATATAATAATATATACTTTGAAAATGATTTTTAATAATACCAACTATTTGGGTATAAACCAAAAATAATATGGAGTCACTTTTCAATAAGAAATCCACTCATTTAAGACATTAAAAATTATTGAAAAATTATTAAATAAATGATATTTGGAAATACAATTATTTATTTGATATTTTGATACCAATTTTTGATGAATTAAAATTAGAATTTTCATTGAAAATTAGCTTTATATCTCTTTTGATCTATATTTAAATAGTTGGTATTATTAAAAATAATTTTCAAAGTACGTATTATTTTTTATTCACAGAAGATAGTTTGTATTATTTAAAGTTATTTTCCCTAATTTTACTAATAATACCTTATGCTTAATTTTTACAAATGATCATGACTCTATACTTATAATAATTTTAGTCATATAGTAGTAAATAAATTTATTTCTATAATATATTTGAAAATTTTCATTATTTAATACGGATGAAAATGTTAATCAAGAAGCAGTGATATATTTAGGGCAAGGACACTCACAAGTTACTTCATCAACTACAACTCAAATTGGCAAATCCGCCATTATTTGGACACAAATTGAAAGGAGTGCTATATAGTGCAAAAGAACTAGAACACATCATAGAAATTTTTCCAATTTTGATCTTGTATCTATTACACTCACACTAAAACTAGTTGAATCTGCAGATTTTTCTGAAATTAATTTTATATTTTGATTTTGTTGAACAATCAAAAATTGTATTTAAAATGTATTTTACTAATAAAATAAAGAAAAATATATGAAAAATAGCTAAAATAACCATCTACTAGAAAAGTAACTCCAACCTTATTTATTTTGATTACTGCACAGTTCAACGCTCAAAATTATAAATTAAGAAATTGACTTAATTAGGACTAAAACATAGTGAATATTTCAACTTAGGACTTAATGTTTTAAATTCCCTAAATGGGACTCCCTATTACTATTTTACCCCTGATATGTTAAATCCCTAAATGCATCGGCATCTCTCTTCCGCATCAATGGTCCCAACTCTCTCGCATATCAATCGGTCTCTGCTGATCTCCTCTGCCTCCTTTTCTGGTCGATCGCCCAGACCTCTCCCATGTCCGCCGGTTCCAAGCTCCACGACTCTGGTTGAAATATGTCCAGGTAAGTGTTTCTTCTTCTTTTCCTCCTCCTCCTCCTTCCTCCTCCTCCTCCTCCTCCTCCTCCTCTTCTTCATCTTCTTCTTATTCTCTTATGTTCTCTGCTCTTTCATTTTAGAATGTTTTTATGTTAATTTTTGTTGTTGATTTTTTTGATTCAAAATGTAATTTTTTTTAATTTGAAAATTTTGGATTTGGGACTTCTGGATATGAAATTTGAGGCTCTATCAGTTGTCCTTCGATATTATATTGGTCTGGTTTTTTTATTATGTATGTCATTCACCTTCTAAAAAATGCCACATGATAGACAATTTTTTGGAGACATGATGGCAATTTTTTGGAGATGGCACTATTATATGTTTGAAAATGCAATGTTTTTGACATTTGTGAGAAATGATGACATTTTTATGACATGAGAATGTCATATTTTTTATCTGAAAATGTCATGTTGTAAATTTGTAATCTCAAAATGACATGTTTTGCATCTAAAAATGTCACGTTTTTGTCTTTGAAAATGTCATGTTGTAATCTCAAAATGACATGTTTCTGCATCTAAAAATGACATGTTTTTATCTTGGATGTTATGTGATGACAATTTCACCTGAAATTGATAACTTACTCTCCAGAGGAGGTAGCCCCAACAAGAAAGATGTCGACACCTCCAGGGAAGAACTTAACAGTGACGGATGACACCGTAACACTATTCTCACCAGAGGGAGAGGATAACACCGGCGGTCTTGTCGGTGGAAGCGGCAGCGACCTCGCCTGTAAGTGGCGGCGACAGTCGGTGGCACTAGAGGAGGGTATTATTGGTGGCGATGACGGTATGGAGAGGTCTTGCTGCAAATAGTCGGTGGAGGTGCAGCGATCATGGCCCTATTGAATATGTTTTTGTTTTTGTTTCATTAAGGGTAATTTTGTCCATCGGTACAATTTTGGTCCTATTTTGATCAATAAAACATGACTGTCTTATTTGTGCAATTTTACTCTATTTTAGTCCCATTTAAGAAAATCCCTCTTATAAATTACGATGAAAAAGTTATTGACAAAATCGATAAGTCAAAACATGACTCACCAAACGGAATCTTAATTTATCGATTTATGTTTCTTGTATGTTTGTGTAAAATGCACAATTGTTTTAATCTTTACGAGACGAAGAGTCACAATATTTCTAAAATATGATTAACCTGCTTAACTGCGCGAGCTAGATTCGCTAGATCCTAAAGCAGGGTAAGAAGAAGTCAAGTCCCGGGCAAACTTTAAACAAAAAAAATAAAATTGACCAAACTTTAATCAAAATAGACAGAAAGCTCAAACAAAATTGAAGTCAATTTAAAACAAAGACAGAAACTTGCAACAATTGATCTATAGAGTTTTTATCACTTTTAATCCTTTGACTACTGCGTCAGTGACACTTTTGATTCTCGGTTTGTAACGTTTCTATTTTTAATCCTTCAACTATTATGAGAAATACAATTTTAGTTCTCGACTTCAAAATTTCTCATATTTAATCCTCTGAGTATTGCTAAATTGATACTTTCAATCCTACACTATGATTTTGGCATAATAAGTGAATGACTAAAAATATCACTATGATATTAGTTGAAGGGGCTAAAGGGTCAAATAGGTACATGAACTAACTTAAAATGTTCAATTAGCCCCTTATATAGGAGATTCTGCTCGGCCGTCGCCAATTGGGGCGGTTTCCGGTGGAATTTTTTGATGAAATTTTTGAGCATCTTCTTCATTAAGTCTAGTTTACCCATACCAAATTACAGCTAAAAATTAAACCGGGAAGGCAGTCAAATGATTTTTTAAAGATAACTGCGCAGTTAAACAGCGCAGTACATTTCAGAAAATCATTTGACTGCCTTCCCGATTTCATTTTTAGCTGAAATTTGATATGGGTAAACCAGACTTAATGAAGAAGATGCTCAAAAAAAATTATCAAAAAATTACATCGGGAACCACCTCAATTGGCGACGGCCGGATAGAACCTCCTAAATAAGGGGCTAATTGAACACTTTAGGTTAGTTCATGTACCTATTTGACCCTTTAGCCTAGTTGAAGGATCAAAAGTGTCACTTTTAATATGGAAAATGTCCCAAAGATGAGTACCAAAACGGTGTTTTTGCATAACAATTGTACAATTAAAGGTGAAAAACTCAAAACCGTGTATCAAAGTATCACTAACACAATAATTGAATCACTTGAATGGCTAAAAGTAGCAAAAACTAGTGAACCAAACAAACGTTCACTCCTACCTGGCATCTCTCTTGAATGTCATAATAGCTCAGATCTTTCAAAGCCAGTTTTTCAAGCTGGCTTGTCCGACAGTCCTTTTTGACTCAAACTTTTCCAACTTCATCGGACCATCGCAGAAGATTCATTACTCCACAAACATGCCTCCTCATCCTCAACCATTCTCCTCTTATAATCAAACCTCCTTTCCCGAACACCACCGTACGAAACCAATCATTTATTTTGACCCCTACCCAGAAACTTTCTACCGGCAATCTGAAGTCATTAACCATAAAATTTCTCTGCCTCTGCCCGAATTGCCTCAATGAGACATGAACAAAACTTATACCATGGCCAGCAAAACCTCGCCGTAATAGTTTTTTTGCAACTTTTCATCACAATATAAACCAAGAACCAGTTTTCCATATAAAACGAAGTTAACTTCCAAAACTCATTTGACGACCTTCCCGGTTGAATTTTTTGCTGAATATATTTGTGGATAAACTAGACTTGAGGAAGAACATGCCATAAAAATTTCATCAAAAAGTTCTACCGTGAAGAGGCCGAAATGCCACCGTCCGGATGGCGGGTTCCCATCCAGAATTCTAGACATGAAGATTTGTGTATGTTTATATATATTATAAATAAATAAAAAATTCTGCAGGGGCTGGTGCACCCCCAAGCCCCTAGCTACTTCCGCCATTGAACGTAGTTGTAGTGTAGCTAGTTTGATCTGTATTTACTGATCGAAACGTAATAGTCTTTGAGTATCCACAGTGTCTTCAGAAGGTTGCGCAGAACTGCAGAAGAGAGGATCTCTTGTGTTTCTTGCTTTCATTATCAAGACCGTTTTTAGGGGGTTCAATAGGTTATCCAGAACAGAGTCCTCGAATTTATGAAGCCCCAAATTTTTAAATTTCTTTTAGTAGTATATAGTATGGAGTTATATTATATATTAATAGTAATCAGTAAAATACATTTAGTAAGAAAGAAAAATATAGATCAATCATATTTTCGTTGGTCCTTTTACCCTTTTAGTTCCTTTTTAACGAGCATTCAATTGATTTGAGTATAGGTATTTGGATTGATATTTTTTTCAAAATTTTTTATATTAATGCGGGCCTTTATTTTACATTTAGAACCGGGGCCTCCAAATTCATTAAGCCCTATTCCTTTTCAGACGTGAGATAGAAAAGAACAAAAATATCACAAATGATCACAAAAATATGCATGAAAACAGATTGTCTCACTCTAGAACTGTCAAGTTTTGTTTCAGTGAATTATCATTTCAGACGGTTTGAACTACTTTCTTTTTTCATTCGTATTGTTTAAGAATTTGGAGTCCCTATTTATAGCCTGTTGATCCAACTACTATTATGGGTAATTGGATATCAAACGGTGTTAATAGTAATGATAAAATCACTCATTAAATTAGAACCAAAATTGCCAAATCTAATACCCCGGCACACAGCCACAGACCTCAATCAGAACCTCAATCAGTTCCTACATTTCTCCTTTTAGGTTTATGTTAAGGTGGTAGTTGAGTAGTTCTCATTCAAATTTCTAAACCAGAACCATTCCCAACCCTAATGATAAGGCATATGGATTTATAACTATTAGCTGATCAATGTGCCAAAAGCAAAGAGCAATATGGGCTATAAAAATATCAAAGGTAAACAGCAAAGGAAAAATATTTTGCATTAATTATGAGGGCTATGATAACAGATTTATTGGGCCAGATATAGGACAAGAGCAAATATAATACTCCGTAGTACATTTGGTAAGGAAAGGGCCAAGTGAAGGATTCTCCGCATACAATGTTACCTACCTACCCTTCAACAAGTATTCTTTTCATCTCATCAACCAATCCCTGCATTTGCTGCCTAGAGTGTAATGGAGATGGATAAACACAAGCACAATCCAACTCTCCATCCCTAATTGTGTCAAATATGGCAATTGAAGGCCCGATGCCATGGATTGAAGCACAGCTAATGTAGTCCTCGAGGAGGTTGGTGGGTTGTTGATCAAAGATGGGCTCATCAAACACCGAGATAAAGGAAGTCCTCATGGATGAATGGGGCGTTAGGCCGGGATTATCCAAGGCCTTACTCATAAGGAAATTCATGTCCGCTAAGTCAGTGAAATGCTTGTCATTGTTCTTGGCATTCAGAAAGGATGTGTAGGTTTGTTTTGACAATTCCCATATATCTTCCTTTCCTTTGATGTTATATGTGTTGAGAATTGCAGAGTTATAAAACCCTATAATATTCACACCACCATTCTGTTAATGACCAAACATAAAGAAACCTTAACTGTAAAGGTGGAATGGTACTGTCAAAAATTAGCAATGCTGGGGTAAACTTGGTAACTAAAACTTTGAGTTAGACTGTTAGACACATCCACAAAGTTGGCATTTGTGTAGTACACTAAATTTCACAGTCGAGTACAAGATTTAAAAACACCTCTTCAAATATGACCATCGTTTTTTCTGAATAAAAGACTCATTCACTATTATTAACTGTTAAAAGAAGAATTATTAACTACTTATATGTTTATATTTAACTCTGGGTCAGTATAGTCAAAAGCACGAACCTGGCCTGCTTAAGCGCACCAGGCGAGGCACTACAAGAGGTGCAGTGCCTAATAATATTCCAGGCGAGGCTGCCAATGTCAGGCACAATATAAGCGTGATAAGCGCAAGACACGCATGCCTGACTCGCCTGGGAAATACTTCTCATCCTATTTTTCTTTTTACAAATAAAATTTGGACCTATTTTAAACCCAGTTGATAAACCCATCCAATTAATAGGGCAAAACAACATAATCCTTGTTCTTTCTCAGACCCCAGAAACTTAGGAAGTTCTTTATGGTGACATTCTTCTTTCCTGTGTTCGACTCACAGACCACACAACTTGCAAAAGATAACCTCCCCCTTCATGTTGTTTTATCTTTCTTTTTTCATCTTCTTCTTGTTTTTCTTATTTTCTACATTTTCTTTCCTTTTGAATGTACAATCTATATCTTCTTTCTTTGTTTCTATCTTTTCACTTAAAAGTCTATCTTTATCTTCTATTTTCTTCTTTTCTGTCATTTCCTTGTATTTTATATTTTCTCCCAACATGTTTTCTCCTTCTACTTTTCGTACTTTCTATTTCTAACTTGTTTTTTTAGAACTTTTGACTAGCGTTTACACTTTATACTCCGTAGTATAATAGTATATGGACGGTGGAATTTCATGTGTTGCGAGGAGCACGGAAACCAATACTACTAATAGATTATTAAGACTAAAGTGATGAATAAGTAGTAGTACTTCGGAGTTGTGACTTGAGAATTGGACTAGAATCTAATTAAATTTCAATTGTAGTTTTATTATTTAAGACTAAAGTGATGGCTTCTGATTTGGTGTTTCGTGTTTTGTTAATCCTGAGCTCTTCAATGCATTCAGTTCAATATTTTCAATACAATGCATTAATTGAATGTGATGAACCATTAATTGATAATGTTTTTTTTTATATTTACCATTTTACATATTCATTTATTAATATAAATAGACCAAATATGAACTATTCAAGTCTAAGTTGTTTATTCTTAATTTTGACACTTTTCATTCTATTGTAATTTTTATTTATTATATTTTGTTTTATAATAATTTTGAGATAAATTTTATATGCGTTCAAAATAAAACGAGATCACGCATATATAAATGCAAAATATCCGATTAGGCCACTATCTAATGACCCATGAAGGTCACGGGGCTACAGGCAGAACGGGTCTATTTAGTAAAATCATAGAGCGGACTCGGGTCTTGCACTACCTGCCCTACTCATTGCCATGCCTAAATTGACAGAATAGAAAAAAAAAAGATTTTCTTAAAATTTTATTCTGGACTGCTTACATTACCCCTGTAGGCTGCATCAACCTGCTATAGTCGTCCACCTTCCATTATACGTACTTTACTACCGATTCATGCATTACATTTCTTCCTAGCATGCGTTCACATGCCTTGGTGTTTGTTTCGTCCTCAAGTTTCATAGCACATGGCGTTCGATTTGTCTAATATTTAGAACTCAATACAAAGTCTAAATAATTAGTCACTTCCTTTGTCTCAGTTTTCACTTTCCTATTTTGGACGTCATATATAATTGTTCTCATTTCTATTTTAGGAAACAATTAACACTCTTAAATGACAATTTAATCATCAAATTTTAAAAATAATACATCTATAACATCATAGTTATCAGTGGCGGATTAAGAAAAAAAGTTTATTGGGGCAGAATGATTAAAAATACTACTTATTTTGATTTGACATAATTATTAATAAAGTGATTGAAAAAGTAAAAGTTGGAGTAGTGATTTGAATATAATAGAGTAAAATATTGTGGATCTCATATGTGTTTCTAGGGAAAAAAATGACAATTATTACTTCAGTCTCAACTTTATCACTTCGAATCTACCGAAGAAATTTCAGATCCTTGGTGTCATATGAAAATGAAAGGTTATAAAAAGTTAAGATTTTTTATATATTTTTTGTAAACAACGAAAAACAAGTGAAAAAGTTATTAAGCTTCATAAAAGAAAAAAAAAATTAATTTAGAGTGAGGGGCAAATCATTTTCTAAAACTTACACTTTTTGGAATCAAAGTAAGAAACATACTCTTATTTGTACACCCGGATTCAAAAGTGCAATTATCCCAAGACAAGAGGATAACAATTCTGGCCTTTGAAGTAAAGAACCCCACAGATCAAACTTCAGACATGACACTGAAGTAAAGAACCCCACAGATGAAACAAGGGAAGCATATCAAAAAACCATTTACGCATAGGCCTAAGTTTAATTTTGGGCAAAAATGATTCCCTTCCATCCGTCCCAGAAAGTAGTTTCCTGTTTAATACGCAAACATATTTGCGCAACATAATTTTTTACATTGACTTTACCATTGCACCTCATTAAAATTAAAATTGTAAAAACATAAGCAAGTGTTCACTTTATTGAAATTTTCGGGTATGATTTGATTTAGTAAATGTCTAGTGTCTTAGTGTCTATGTATTTTTCAACTCTGGTCTGATCTGAATTGGTCTAACTTGATCTAATACTGAAGACCTGATCTGATACTAAAATAAATCCAAATAAAAACATCCTAATTAACTCGATCCAAATTGCATTTCAAAGTTCAAATACTAGAGTTCTCATTTCAATTTATTATTAATTTATGAGGTATTACCCGAAATAGGACTAAAACAGTTTGAAAATTCCAAAATAGGACTGACATGTTTTTTATTCCCAAAATAGGACTAATTACTGTCATGTTTTGTCGGTACCAGACTTCAAACATGACAGTATTTTCTAAACATGACAGTAATTAGTCCTATTTTGGGAATAAAGAACATGACAATCCTATTTTGGAATTTTGAAACTGGTTTAGTCCTATTTCTGGAACTTTCCCTTGATTTATTTCATTAGGTTAAAAACTGTTTTTACTTAAACAGACCAACCACATTAGACTTAAAAAGATTGTATCAGACCAAACTAAGTCGATCCAACCAGAGTGAATGAGACCGAGGGCCAAAGAATTTCCAGTCCAAGTGGAAATGTATTGAGCAGGAATAAAGATTAAAAACCAAAATTTAATATAATAAATATTTATTTATATACGAAATCAAAGATTAACAACCGCACTGATCACTTAACAAGTCAATAAAGAAATAATCAACTAACCAGTGTGGTGGTCGTTAAGAGCAGGATCAAGCATCGAACGGCAGTCCATGATCGTAACCACTGCATACTTTTCGGATTGAGAATCCGAAAGCCCTTTTGAAGAACGGGCCGCAATCAAACCAGCGGCAGACAAAACCCCGCAGAGCTTTATGCCTCTCGTTTTGCACCCATCGAGGATCCGACCCGTTTCCTCTTTCCCCAACTTCAGCCTCACGACCCGGGAAGATCTGGGCGAATGGGTGTCCTGAAAGGCCACATTGGACATCCGGAAAGAATTCAAAGAGTAGCCCAACATATCCAATCCCCTGGCCCAAAGTGCCTTCTTAGCCTTCCCTTTCGGAATACAATCCTCTATTCCCAAACCGACCCCTCCTTCCGCTTCTAATTCCCCTTTTGCCCCACTCTCTTCCCCGCCGAGCAAAGGCACCAACTCCTTCAGCAATGTTGCGGCGGCGGTACGGTCGCACGCTGCCGTGTGGAATCGGAGCGCCAGAACGCGCCGGCCTTCGTCCAAGTCGTATGTGCTGGCGAAGAAGGTGTCCGCATCGGCTTTCGGATTCAGCCACGAGTTGCGGTTCAGTTCGTGCTCGAGGATGAGGTGGAAGTGCGAACCGGAGGAGTCAAGGCCTCGGAGAATCTCGGCCGTCGACGCTTGGTCGAACGGCTCGATTTCGAGGTGAGGAGTGGCCGGAGCCGGCGGGGTGAGGAATGAGTACGAGTTGGGGCCGGCTCTGTGGATGAACTTGGAGTTGAGGATAGGGTGGTCAATTTGCAATTTGCGGAGGGCATTTTGGAGAAGCGGAATGTGTATGGGTTCGGAAAGGAGGACTGCCACGACTGTAATGCCCGTGCCACCGGGTACCGCCCTGCACCAGTTGCGCTCAGTGCCGCCAAGCGGCCGGATCTTGGGCTGTACCGCCGCCATTAATTAAAAAGGAATGTCGCGTACTACGGATAGAGACAAAGCGGGGTTCCTCACTACTCACTAGTAAGCTGTGAAGATACTCGGGATGACATGATGAGTCTGATATATATGATGGAGACACGCTAAGTTGACATTGCATTTAGGAGTTGACTACACACTTTTTTGTGTACACACTTTTTATACATGTTTGTGTAAGGTTTTTTTTATATCTGGACAGACATAACGTATTTTAAAAATATGTTATGTCTGTACAGACATAAAAAAAAACTTACACAGACATGTGTAAAAAGTGTGTACACCAAAAAGTGTGTACCTTTAAAATTTTTCTTGCATTTAGTAGCACTCTCTACCTGTCCAATTCCACTTGTTCCTCTTGTCGTGGTCTCATTAATCAAATCATCTAACATTTTTTAATCAAATCATCTAACATGGGCTCCCATTTGGAGGAATTTGTGTGGGGTTTGGAAGATGGCAACCACAAAAAAATGATGTTTGTACTCATTCTTTATATCCATTTTGTACTCGTTCATGTTTGTGAAAACTTTTTTTTGTCCATGAATTCGATTCACAGACAAAAAAAAACTTCACAAACAAGATGAGTATAAAGTATAAGGGTCAGTACATCAAGCATTGTTGATCACAAAATACTTCATTCCGCTGAAAAATAAGAGCAATGCCTAAGATCACCTCATTTTCCTAGGAAAGTTTATTATGAACTTTTAGATGAAATGGCTGAATTGACTGATTCTGCTAGTTTAAAAAAAAAAAAATATACTCCGTATTTTATTATATGTGAAACTAGCTAAAATGATCGTCTACAGTAATTTTAGTCAATAAAGTTAGAAAAGTAACTCTAACCTGACTTTTTTATTATTACACAATTCCGCGCACGAAATCAAAAGTTACGATGAAAAAATTGATTGTTAAAAATGCTAATCGATAAACATATTCCTATGAAATGAGTTGACTTATGTATAATCATAGTTAGCACATGCTACACTTCCGAACAGTGGCGGACCCACTAAGGGTCCCAAGGGGTCTCGGGACCCCGTGCACCTCCGGAAAAAAACCTATATATATTATATACATTATTAAAAATTAATTTTGCCATGTATATTTACACACAAAGCCACTTGAAAACAATAAGAATGGAGTAGCAGAACGGGAGCAGACGCGGATGCAAAGTGTCTGTGATGCGGGAGGTTCTATGTTTGAATCCCGTTAATTTTTTTTTTGTTCGGCCTAGCCCATATTTTTTTTGGAACTTAAGCCCAAAACAAAACAAAAGACTCAGGCTGCCAGGCACCCAGCCCTCTTTTCCTTTCACGTTGGAAGCACCGGCTGCGATTCCCCCAACTGCGCGCGAAGCCGACTGCGGACTGCACAGTGCACGACGATCCGAGTCCACCGACCACCGGCTGACCGACGACTCGACGAGGCGAAAACCACCGGGCACCGGCGGGCGGCGGCGGCGATTGGCGAACACAGAACACCCCTCTCTGGCTCTCTGCACTCTCGGTCTCTGTCTCTCCCTTTTCTCCATTAACCCAGCGGCCAATCCACCAAGGTACTCTTCTCTTCTTTTCTCCATTAATGGCGTTTCTCAAGCTTTTTGGTGCGATTTTCTTTATGCTCAAAACTTAGGGTTTTCAATTTCTATGTTTAAATTAAATATAAATATACCAAAACTACGTCGTTCTTTTAATTGCTTTTTTTGCATATCTTTTTTTAATGAATTTATTAAATTAATAAATTCATGTATTTATAAATGTTATTTTCAATTTTATATGATTTAGGATGAAAAGATATTTTGATGTTGTACCCAAATTTAAATAAACTGAAAGTACCGGGAGTGGTTTGGGCGTTAATTCAAATCAACCACCATTAGTAAATGAAGAATTGGATCAAGTAATTGCCGAAAGTGAAGCTAATTTGGCTTATAATCTACCTGAACAACATGAGGATTTTGAATCTTTGGAAGCTGATCTTGGATTGAGAAAAAGGATTGCTGATTTTCACCCTAATGTTCAAGACGAGGTACGTCGTAGTTACATTCAAAAAGGACCGTTTCAACCTCGGGACCATGATTTCCCTTTTCAGTTAATTGGAGGCACAAAACGTAAAAAAAAATCAAGTTTGTTTGATGAGCATAAGTGGTTGGATTACAGTATTGCCAAAGATGGTGCATTTTGTTTGCCATGTCATTTGTTTAAGAATGAGTGGGAAGTTGGTGGCGATCATTTTTTTGGGAATTGGGTTTTCAGCATGGAATAAAAAAGGTAGGTTTTATTTACATGTTGGTAAACCTAACAGTCCTCATTACAATGCGGTGAAAAGATCGGAAGATTTGATGAACCAAAAACAAAGTATTGAAGCATGTTTTGTGAAACAATCTGAACAAGCGATGTAACACCGACCCCGAGCATATTTACTTTTAGTGAATTATGTAATAAACCTTGAAAAACGATTTATGAATTTAGGTGTGATAGGGGTAGGCCTAAGGCTACCCAAGGAAATTGATTCTAGGCATAGGATTTGCTTGAGAATGTAATTATGAAAATAATTAGAGTTGGACTCTAGGATGACATGGAAATGTAGTTGGGCCGAGCCCATGCCATGTAATATGATTAGCATGGAAACGTAGTTGGGCCGAGCCCTTGCCATGTATATGTGACCTCCGTGGAAACGTAGTTGGGCCGAGCCCTTGCCACGAAGTTATGGTTGGTATGGAAACGTAGTTGGGCCGAGCCCTTGCCATACAAATTTTGATATGTTATATCGAGTTAGAGGATTGTATAGAAATGTAGTTGGGTCGAGCCCATGCTATACAATTGGGGCTCGATGGGACCCCACGGGGTTATCGTGGCTCGCGGTCAAGGGGGAATGGAAACGATGAATTCTAAATGAACATGGGCCTACGGGCCGACTACTTGACTTTATATAAAGTAAGTACAGTTAAAAGAAAAAGGGGTAACCGAGGGTTATGGCCTATAACAAAATAGTACCCTAAGTTGAGGGTCTTGGAAATTAAAACGTTGATTATACTTAGTATAGTTGCTATTGTACTTGTCAAATATTTCCAAGTACTGACCTCCCCTTCACGGGGGAGGCCACCTCACAGTTTCAGGTAGGACTTGAAGGTTGCTACCGGTGCCCGTTGCTCGGGATATTCAGAGAAGAAGACGTGGTTCGTGCTTCTTCTGTTTTCTGATTTCAAAACAATTATAATAATGCTCATGGATATTATTTTGAATAACTATTTGGGGGCTTGCATGCCCATGTTTGCCAAAGTGTGGCTAAGACACTTTTATTAAATGCTTCCGCTGTTTTAAATGAATGATTTACATTATGTTTGTTTATGGATGTACTATGTGTGAATGATATTCATGACGCCTCGTATAGTATGGATGAGTTGGACTGCGGTTGGCTATTCGTACTGTACGGCGGGTTGTTGACGTGTCCGGCTAGGTCCGGGGCGTGACAATTTAATTGGTATCAGAGCCTTAGTCCGTAAACATCATAATGAAGCTTCAAAATTTCTTTTTGAAAATGAATTTGAAAACCATGAGCATAAGGTTTTGTACTTATAGAACTTTTGGTACTCGAGTTGCAATGTCTCTAATTGTTAAGATGGTACCCTTAACAATTGGTATGGCGGTGATTTGAGCCAAAGGATGTCTTTAAGTACCTATCCGTCAATTGACATTTGATACGAGTCTAATGACTCATTCACAATTTTTTTCAGAAATGGAACGTACCGGAAATGTGACTAGGAAAAACCCGACTGGCCGAGCGCCGGGAGGATCCGTGCAAGGCATTAGAGGGGCTTCTAGGGTGTCCAGAGGATAGGGCCGTGGAGGCCAAGATCAGACCATGAGTGACAGTTACGTGGAAACAGTCAACGAGTCCTATGAGTCCGAAGAGGATTCGACGTATCAACCGGGAACTGAGCCGGTTGAGACCCCATATGATGGGGAGTATGATGATGACAGTGAGGGGAGTGACGATGACGACGCTCTAGAAAGGATGGAGGAACTACTCCGTCAATTTCAACAGGATCGCCAAAGGCGCCGGGCAAGGCGTGCTTTGGGAGGGGCTTCAAGAAGGGGAAGCCATGCGGGTTCTAGGGGACATGTAGAGTCCCGAGTAGATCGAGGTGTCGAGGTCCCGATAATAAGGATCTCGAAGTACCTCAAAGAAGCAAGAGATCTGGGGTGTAAACCGTTCGATGGAACGGGAGATATATCCGTTGCGGCGGAGTGGATCAAGAGGTTCAATGAAGCGGCCCTTGATATGCAGCTGCCGCCAAACATGAAGATGAGAGTAGCAACAAGGTTGCTGGAGGGGATGGCGTCCACATGGTGGGACGATATCAAGGGGAAGTACGGTGAGGCCGTAACTTGGGAGAATTTCCGACAGGAATTCTTCAACCAGTACTACTCCGACTTCGAGGTGAACTTGAAGAGGAGAGAATACACCAACTTGACCCAAGGAGGCAAGTATACCGTGAGGCAACTTGAGCACAAGTTCAGGGAGCTCGCGGAGTTCATACCGGAGTATGCTTGTGATGAGAACCGGATGGTGAATCACTTTTGGGATGCTTTAGACTTAGACGTGCGTGAACGGGCTACACAATTGCCTAACATGACGTTTAGTCAAGTGGTGGAGCAAGTCCTGAAAGGGGAGAAGGAATGGGAAGAAAGAAAGCTGAAAAACGCCGAGGAGGCGAAGAAGAGGAAATGGGAGAACACCGGCCCCCAAGGTTCTAGCAAGAAGGGAAACCACGGGGGAGGTGGGTCTTTCAGAACGCCCGCACCACCATCTAGGGGAAATCAAGGCCCAGGAGGGCAAGGCTCGAGGTCGCAAGGTTCGGGCATTAGCAGGTGCAATAACTGCAAGAGGAACCACACGGGCAAGTGCCGCGATCCCCCTAGGTGCTACCAATGCGGGGAAACGGGGCACTTGAGATCAAACTGCCCACAACTTGGGCGAGCCATGGGTGCAGGACCTAGCAGCGGGACTACGGCAAATAGGAACCGAGTAGGGGCACTTCACGCGAGCACGGCGCACGGAGGGCCAAGTACAAGTAACGCG